CTGCGCATGCGTAAACAGTTACCCATCATGCACCTCGTGTAAAATAATTTAAGTATTTTTACTGTAATATTTTAAAACAGGAATATATTTTTACTAACCCTAGTATTCTGCAATGAATGGTTATGACTGGACACGTTGAACAGAGCACGGGATTTGGATTTGGGTACCGTGGTTGGTATTACCGCTATGGGAATGTCATGTTGGTGAAGTCAGTCCCCATTTTTACTTTCTTCAAGTCAGTACACTCTGGTTTCTCTTCAGATCGCATAAATCTTTCGCCTTTTACTAAAGATTTCCGTGGGGAGGAACATTATGAGTATCAACTAATTTTTTGATGCCCTGCCTTACCGCGGGGCTTCCTTTAATTGTTAAAAAATAACTCTCAGCGTTCTGTTACAGGTGGTGTCGTGTCCAGAATGTCTTGTCATCTAATCATAAACAATCCATCAGCAATCGAAAGCCGGTGGAAACGAGAATAAGTGGTTCATTTACCAGTTAGGAACCCCAAACTCACTGTAAATGAATTATGGGTTTCATGTTTCACGTATTACCACTCTATTACTGCTATAATTATTTTCAGTTGCTATCACATTTCTAATCTACATGTCTAGAATAGGCCTACTTATTGTGTATTACAAGTGATGAACTTCATTTATTTAATATCAACATGTTTTTTTAATCAATTAATTACACAAATATACAGAAAGTTTACAAAACAGAAAAAACGAAAATGACACATACACTTCGCTTTGACGTTATTGGCGGTGCACGGCATATTATGGACTTTATCGCCACCTGCTGGACTGGAGTGCTACACGGTCGGTTTAGAAATGTATTTTGATGAGGCATTGAATGCTTGTTTGATGCAGTATAGTTTACTGGACACTACTTCAATCTGATGAAAGTGCAAAAATAATACACAGTCGTGGAAAAGTGCCCAATTGTCATACTTGAGTAAATGTATAGATAGCTTAATAGAGTTACTCAAGTGAAAGTGAAAGTCACCCAGTAAAATACTACATGAGTAAAAGTCTAAAAGTATTTGGTTCTAAATATACTTAAGTATCAAAAGTAAATGGAATCGCTAAAATATACTTAAGTATCAAAAGTAAAAGTATAAATCATTACAAATTCCATATATTAAGCAAAGCAGACGGCACCATTTTCTTGTTTTAAAAATGTACGGATAGCCAGGGGTCCACTCTAACACATCATTTACACACGATGCATGTGTTTAGTGAGTCTGCCAGATCAGAGGCAGTAGGGATGACCACGTGTTCTCTTGATAAGTGCATGAATTGGACCATTTTCCTGTCCTGCTAAGCATTCATCACCTAACAAATACTTTTGGGTGTCAGGGAAAATGTATGGAGCAAAAAGTACATTCTTTTCTTTAGGAATGTAGTGAAGTAAAAGTAAAAGTTGTCCAAAAAAACTACTTAAGTAGTACTTTACTCCACTGGTAGTACAATAGTACACACTTTCTACACAGACAAACTATTTTGGAAAATGTGAATGATGCAATGGAACTACAAAGAGAACGATAACTAGATAGATGTATTTATTCTTATTTATATCATTAATATAATTAGCATTTATAAAATGATACACGAATTGAGACCTTCACACCAACAGCAGTCACCATCAGAAGCTGTCAAGACTAGAGACTTCATGCCATATTTCTTTCTTCTTCAACTTTTATCTTCTTTCTTTGTTTTTTGTATGTATACTGCAATTCAGCTTTTAGCTGTGAATGTGTACAAGACAGTGTAACTAATAATAAAACCTTGATATATTATGTCATAAAAACATGGGTAAAAGAGATTATATTCTGCCGCCTCTTGAGTAACCATTGGAATCCAGCGGCATAGTGTAACATAATTTCAGGACTCTGCTTCACTATGCAATTCTGCTTTACACATGACGTCTTACATGATCTCAGCGTCAGATATCAGGAAAGCCATCCATTTCCTTCAGTTAAAATGTAAAATAATGACATCTTTTCAATGGTTGAATGGTAAAAAAGCGTTCCTTCGCCAAATTATACATAAAATAATTAAAAAGGCCATATACCCTTTGAAATAAATCATGATTTCTCTGGGAGGAAAACTGGCTGAAACTATTGAATGAAAATAACTACAGGATAAACGGTCATACCAATGTGTTAAGGTGCAAGTATGCAAAATGATTTAGAATATCCTTAAACATTGAGAAGTCCAGTTACGAAGCAGGAACATTAATGAACCAACACTCACTCTACAAAGCTGGTTCGCAACTGTGACATAAGCATTTTTTTCATTATGCTAATCAACATTCTGTTATTTCATATGGCTTATCATACTGGTAGGATACCACCATGGTTGGGGAAAGAATTTCTCAGACTACAAGCTTATTTTTAATGTTAGCCTGGAACCAGACCGATATTTTGCAGCACAAGGGTTTCAGGATAAAGCGGAGCATAAATCCTAAACCAACGCATTTAATTAATGACTAGTTATTATAACTTGGGCAGAATGTTTCTTTATGTGGTCAGAACTTATCAGATGGTGATAACATCATGACATTAAGAAATTCCCATTCTGAATGAACAGATTTGTATCAAGACGCAAGTACTCACAAATGTTGACATTTGGCAACTAACATTCAATAATGACAATCTATGCTTTGACAGTACTTAAAAATCACCCATTTCCTCATTTTCTATTTGTGGCACAATTTCAGTGATGTTGCATGATACACAATACTACAGTCGTGGTCAAACGTTTTGAGAATTACACAACTATAAATTTTTCACAAAGTCTGCTGCCTCAGTTATGATGGCAATTTGCATATACTCCAGAATGTCACGAAGAGTGATCAGATGAATTGCAATTAATTGCAAAGTCCCTCTTTGCCATGAAAATGAACTTAATCCCCCAAAAACATTTCCACTGCATTTCAGCCCTGCCACAAAAGGACCAGCTGACATCATGTCAGTGATTCTCTCGTTAACACAGGTGAGAGTGTTGACGAGGACAAGGCTGGAGATCACTCCGTCATGCTGATTGAGTTAGAATACAGACTGGAAGCTTTAAAAGGAGGGTGGTGCTTGAAATCATTGTTCTTCCTCCGGTTACCTGCAAGGAAACACGTGCCGTCATCATTGCTTTGCACAAAAAGGGCTTCACAGGTAAGGATATTGCTGCTAGTAAGATTGCACCTAAATCAACAATTTATCGGATCATCAAGAACTTCAAGGAGAGAGGTTCAATTGTTGTGAAGAAGGCTTCAGGGCGCCCAAGAAATTCCAGCAAGCGCCAGGACCGTCTCCTAAAGTTGATTCAGCTGCGGGATCGGGGCACCACCAGTGCAGAGCTTGCTCAGGAATGGCAGCAGGCAGGTGTGAGTGCATCTGCACGCACAGTGAGGCAAAGACTTTTGGAGGATGGCCTGGAGTCAGACGGGCAGCTAGGAAGCCACTTCTCTCCAGGAAAAACATCAGGGACAGACTGATATTCTGCAAAAGGTACAGGGATTGGACTGCTGAGGACTGGGGTAGTCATTTTCACTGATTAAACCCCTTTCCGACTGTTTGGGGCAATTGGAAAACACCTTGTCCGGAGAAGACAAGGTGAGCGCTACCATCAGTCCTGTGTCATGCCAACAGTAAAGCATCCTGAGACCATTCATGTGTGGGGTTGCTTCTCAGCCAAGGGAGTGGGCTCACTCACAATTTTGCCTAAGAACACAGCCTTGAATAAAGAATGGTACCAACACATCCTCCGAGAGCAACTTCTCCCAACCATCCAAGAACAGTTTGGTGACGCCCAATGCCTTTTCCAGCATGATGGAGCACCTTGCCATAAGGCAAAAGTGATAACTAAGTGGCTCAGGGAACAAAACATCAACATTTTGGGTCCATGGCTAGGAAACTCCCCAGACCTTAATCCCATTGAGAACTTGTGGTCAATCCTCAAGAGGCGGGTGGACAAACAAAACCCCACAAATTCTGACCAACTCCAAGCATTGATTATGCAAGAATGGGCTGCCATCAGTCAGGATGTGGCCCAGAAGTTAATTGACAGTATGCCAGGGCAGATTACAGAGGTCTTGAAAAAGTAGGGTCAACACTGCAAATATTGACTCTTTGCATAAACTTCATGTAATTGTCAATAAAAGCCTTTGACACTTATGGAATGCTTGTAATTATACTTCAGTATACCATAGAAACATCTGACAAAAATATCTAAAAACACTGAAGCAGCAAACTTTGTGAAGACCAATACTTGTGTCATTCTCAAAACTTTTGACCATGACTGGAACATTATGTTTTTGAGTGTAAAAACCAAAATGAAGGCATGATCTAAGGTTGAGAAAGTTTTCAAGTGCAGTTTTTTTGCAGGCGTATATATGTATCCCGTCTTGTGGAACTGGAAGCAGTTTAATATTTATTTTATGAGTGACTTCCTGCTTTGAGCTTCCCAGAAAGTTCTGTACAAAATGTACAGAAATTTACAGCGAGCGTTTCCTGTAAACATGAAATAACTGGTTAAAAAAACAACACAAGCCCCCAAACAATGACAACATCAATGTATAAATGTCAAAAAATTGCATAAAGGAGATTCTTGGCATCATCCTTTACTGGATTCTACTGTTCATATGATTCCTTGGCTTGGACACTTAAGACGTAGAGCGAGTTCAGAGATGTAAGAACATATTAGTGTGCTTCACCTTGCCAATCATGTCAATAGCAGAAACCTCTCTATATTAGTGCAAGTTGACGAATAGCTCCTGGCTCTACCACTATCCAGTTCGGTTGATCATGTTTGGTCTATGGTCGGTACATACAGTCACACTTCCTAATTGCACTTGAGGTTAGTTCATGTAGAAAAAAGAAACTAGAAGCAGGACGTCAATGTCTGTTCTTATCGTTTGTCATTTCAAAGGTCTCTGCAGCTACGGGAAGCCCACTGGGTCACAAAGAGCATTCCTGCAGGGTTGCCGGTTAGTCCTGCAGATCTACAGGAAGCCCACTGGGTCACAAAGAGCATTCCTGCAGGGTTGCCGGTTAGTCCTGCAGATCTACGGGAAGCCCACTGGGTCACAAAGAGCATTCCTGCAGGGTTGCCGGTTAGTCCTGCAGATCTCTCTCGAGGTACCTCTGAAGCCGCAGGCATCGTGGACAGGAAGGCGACTTGGCCTTGCAGGTTGCGTGAAACACGGCCTTACACTCTTTACATCTTTGTGGGAGACAGAGGGAGAGTATGTGAGGAGGTGGGGTGGTCAGGTCAGTGAGTGATCACATTTCAGTGTATTGAAGTGATGAGAGGCCAGGGCCCTACCTGGTGGTGGTGTCGAACTGGAAGGGGAAGATGATGTCACTGGCGTGACAGATCTGGCAGATGAAGCCCCTCTGCGTGCAAAGGTCACAGTGGTGGACGTGGTTGGAGGCAAACTGGATCAACGTGTTCAGGTAGGCCACATACATTCCCTCCGCTATCTAAACACACACACACAAGGAGAAAAAGCTAATTCAAGCTTATTACCTACATGGACTTGGTTTCTGGTGGTGTAGTTTTGCAGGTAAATAATGTGTATTATTTAAATGTAAAAGTGAATTGACTAACAGGGATAATTAAGTAATGACTGTATTGATACCTGTCTTAAGTCCATGACGCTGTAGAGATGGCTTGATTCTAACAAGTATGTCCTTGGGCCCAGTCTTGAGAGAGAAATAACAACGCAATAGTCAAACAATAAAGGTTGACTGGTATGTGGAAATTATTAATCCATTACCGTTTGGCCCAAGTCCAGATCATCTGAAGAATGATCTGGATGACCCGAGTTCTCAGAAAGCAGGATCAATATGTTAACCAGCTCACTTTGATAAACTTTCATTTGACCCAGTTCTGCAATACTTAAAGATGCGCTATGCAGAAATCGCTCTGCCATTTCCTGGTTGCTAAAATTATAATAGTTCGCTTAATTTCAGTTTGTGACAAAACAAGCAAGTATAGTTTAGAGAATCATTGTACCATCTAAACCGCTGTGAAATATATTTTCCATAACCCAAACTATTTTATTTTCTGTTGTTGTTCAAAACCGAAAGTAAAAGACGCAAAAATGAAACTTAAGGGAAGCCTAGAAATAGCGCACATAGAACAGATCTACCGCTTCTTAGACTTGCTTTCAATGAGAATGACAGATCTATAACACACATTTCTACGTGAATTTGGTCAGATCACCCAAAAAGCTACATAGTACAGCTTAAAACAAAAAAGACAAACATACAAAAGTGGATCACACACACACCTGCTCTGGATGTTCTTGCATGCTCCGCTGCGGCAGGTGAGCAGGTAGTCTCCTAGGAGACGCAGCCGCTGTCTGAGGCTCTGTGCCTGGGCCATGGCCTCGGCATGCTCCCACAGGTCAGGGTTTAAAAGGTCAAGGTTGAGCAGCGGCTCATGTTCAATCTGAGCCAGCAGCTTAACAGCCTGTCTGGAGACCTACATTTACACAACCAGGGCAAAGGATGCATACAAGAGCATCTTAACAACAAACACAAATAATATTGATCCAAGGCCAACAGTACTGGTTTAGTTTAATGTCAAAGGTAAAATAACAAAAGTTATGCAAGGAGGAAGTTATGGTATGTTTCCATTATGATTATGTTTGCAAATCTTTTTTTTATTTTTTTTATTGACCATGGAAATACTTTGGCACAAATATTGTGTGTGTGTGGTCCATAGACCCTTGAGAGACTCACCTCTCGAGGCGCGAGGTCCCAGTTGTGCACCATGCGGGAGGGTATGACGATGGCGTCGCCCTGGTGACAAGTGTCGCAGTAGTACTGCCCTGAGAACTCACACAGTCTGGCTTTCCCTCGGGAGACGCCTACCGCCTTTGGACAACCTACAGAGAAGAAAGGCGTTACTACATACTCTGTCGCTCCCAGTAACGGCACGGTAAGGGGAAAGTAATGGACACTAAAGTGTTGCCTGGTCAAGGGCAATTCCACGGAACAGATTGAGACAGACTAAGATGTCACTTTAAAATGTATGTAAAAAAAAATCTCTATGTAGCAATTTCCACTGAAAATTGTACAAAAAACACTTACTTGAAGAACAGTGCAGATGCAAGTTTGGTAACAGAATGACAGTTGACACTTTGCATCTGCACTGTTCTTCAAGTAAATGTGTTTTTGTAAAATGTTCTTGTTTGCAATCCTTGGTTTTTGTTTGACTTACACTTTAAAGTGAAAAATGTGAGTATCAGTGTCACTGTTACCGTGGAATTGCCCTTAACAACTAGTAGCTTGATGAGATTTAGAGCTACCTGCACACTTGAAGGCCTGAAGGTCCAGCCCCTTCTCTGTGGGCACTGTGCATAGATGGGCCAGCAGCACCCCGTCCCCCTTCAGTCTATGCTGCACCAGTCTGTGGATGTTCCCCCCTGCCCCAGGGGCCACCCCAGGGCTCTCAGGCTCCCAGTCTTCTCCACTCTCCAGGTAGGAGTCCAGGGCTCCCCTGATGAGGCCCCTCCAGGCACGTGCCTCCTCAGAGCTCTTGGCCCTCAGCTTGAGCGTATCCTTGGCCGTTACCACCCTAAAGAAGGCTGGTCCGCCCAGAGAAACGTCTGGGACCACGTCCCGGATCCCCTCGATGGGGTGGGTGCAGCACAGCACCTTCTGCCCGTCCTGCATCCGGAAGCCCTTGAGAGTCTCTAAGGAGAGGGAGAAGACCAGAGGAGTCCAGTTGCGAGCCTCAGAGTCCTGTGAGAAGTACAGCACCGCCTCCTTAATGGCGTCTGACTCTGGGTCTGTGGGACGCGTCCAGTCCAGCTCCAGTGGCAGCTCCTGCTCAACCACAGCCCCCCCTCGCTCGGGACTGGCGGGTACGGAGGAGGGGGACGAAGGGGAAGATTTTGGGGGCTCATCCGGGGTTACACTGCTGTCAGTGGGCTGCAGCACCTCCCACTGGTCATCGAGGCGGTGAAGCGGGCGGCACTTGTTGACGGCTTCAGCAATGCGGTCCACCCAGTCCTCTGCCTCATCGCGGTTGGCCGCCCGCATGAGGAGCCTTTTCCCTGGGAAGGCCAGGTCGAAGCGGCCCTCGGCCGAGGTGACGCGGGCGTCCTCGCAACGCAGCAGGGAGCAGTTGTCGCAGCAAGTGCGCTCCTCTGCGTTCAGGTAGAGGCGGAACTCGAAGGGCGAGAGCTCGCAGTAGTAGTCGCGCCACATACCCACCGTGCCCCGCCGCTCCAGGTGGCCCAGCTTCAGCAGTCCGCGGAAAGGGTTGGACAGGCCTGAAGGACAGAGCGAAAGAGTGAAAGAGAACAGGGAGGGAAAGAAAGAGGATGCTATTGAAAAACTGCACAACAGATCTCTAAAGTGCCTGGGCCTAATCTCTGTCCAGATCAAACTTTGCATGCCATCAAGAAATGTTTCACTAAACCTGTATAACAGGTTTTATCTGAACATGAAACCACCGGGCAAAATGTATATTCAACACCGAGGTTCAAACATACCATAAGGAGGAAGTACCAATGATTCTGTGAAGAGAACAAGTTGGCTAGTAGTAGCTTTGACTGCATGACAGTGCATTCAGAACCATTCAGTGGCTAGCTAGCCACACTACAAACTTCATTGTACCAGGTTCCCGTGAAGCAATTGTAATGACAGTCCACCATAACATACTCAACAGTCTCTTGATTAGCAAGGGGTAGTCTGTGTTTAATTAGGCTTAGCAAAGGGTCAATTATGGAAGTTGTGGACTGTCCAATGACTGACAAACCCTGCCATTGAACAAACAAGTCTTTGGTTCATCTCAATTCCCTTGAACTAAAGTGTCAAAGACCAGAACAACAAGGGCTGAAAACTAGGAACAATCTTTTGGCATACTGTCACCTCATGACCAAGGCCGTTCATATGGTGGTTACAACAGACTGCATCACAAGCTGTTCTGTGTTCAAGAAGTGCTAGAAGTGGTGGTGTCACTGGTTTTGGGAACTTACCTATCTGCCTGCGGTGAACCACGCTGGGGGGAGACTGGGGGGTCTCGGGCTCTGGGGGAGGAGAGGTCAATCCGTTCACACAAGCTGGGCCAGACCCAAGCAAAAAGTCATCGGGGTCAGCCAGTTCCTCAAGGTGTGGCTTATAGATGTCATCCTCAGAGATCCAGGAGTGGGAATGCTAAGAAAGGGTAGATGGGTCTTAGTGGTGATTGGTTGCTAATTTAGAAAATCTGGAAATGGAATTGTTCTTTCAGCTTGTAACCATATAAACACACAGGTGCTCTATTATTTAGCAAAGCTTTGCACAATATGAGTTCTACCCATTCAGCCTAGACTACAGTGGAAAATATATCATAATATTATATCATTATCTAGGGCAAAGGTCAAGGAGAGCTAAAAGAACTTAAAGAGCGACTGAACACGCCGATTGACACGTTTTTTCTTTTACTCATTAGAAAACCGATGAGACACGGTAGACGTGGAAGTCTATTTCACTTCCTCAAAATCCCCAGAATGAACGTAAGATAACTCAAGAAATCTAAAATGAATGTAGATGTTTTTACTGAGGATGTTTTAGTTGCACAATTATACATCTAACTAAAAAGGTGTTTGGTGCCGTACTTCTCAAGTTTAAAAAAAAGTGCAACATGTCTTATGTAAACAAAGACAGAGCTGCTGGGCAGGTCTGTCTCACTGTCTATGCCTTTGGATAGCGAGCAATCACCGCAGCTGTTCACCCCATGCTAAGGGCAAATGGACATCATCAAATCAAAACCCAACGTTCATTTACCCGTTGTGACGCACGGATGTTCCAAACTCCGTTTTAGGCGAGACTATGACCAAAATTATCCTATTTACACTTTGTGGTCAATTTTGACACTAGAATAACTGTTTCTGATTCATATCGATGCCACAGAGGCCATTTTCAAAGGGATTCGTTGCTTTTTAAAGGCAGTCGCTCTTTAAGGTCAGGTCAATCACATGACGAATTAGTCAGACGGAGGGAATGAGAGCGAGATTAAATTTACTGCGATTGAGTCTGTAGACACCCTCCTGCTAAGCACGCTGGTAGTGTGGCGTAGGTTCATGTGGGCTGAAGGCTCAGAGGCGCTCTTAGCAGAATCTTCTGTCTTTTTCTCCCGTGGCGTCTCAGTGACAGGCAGGTGAGGAGTTGTCGATGTTCTCTCCACACAGTCACTGAGACTGGAGGGCCCTTCAGTGTGCAAGAACACGTCGGAGGGGACGTGGGTCTTAGTGGACGGCTCTTCCTGGTCTGACCCCAGTGAAGCAGGGCTAGAGGGGCCAGTGAGAAGTGTGACATGTCCCTGGGTCTCGCTGTCGGAGCCACTGAAGGCCGTGTTCTCAGAGAGGTGGTCTGCGCCCGGGGTGGACACGTACGAATCCTCGCGCATGGAGTCCTGACTGGAGTGGGCACTCTCCCTGAAGTCTGCCAGAACACTGCATGGTTACAGAAAACAGGAGATGTCAGAGGTCGTCAGAAATCACCAACTGAAACAAGGGACAAAATGTTAGAAAGTTCCTTTAAGTCTTTAATTAATTTCTTTAAACATTGTTAGTTGAAGCATGTTGCTTACATCACCATAATTGCGGTGGGTTTCATTCTTGCAGGAGTACGCCTACAGGCATTGACCTCATGTTGCTTTGGATAAAAGCATCTGCTAAATGCAGAAATGATTTGGGCCTATGTCTTATACTGCTGTGGTGATCTGCCAAGGACCTCATTCCTTAGCAGAGGCACACTAACAACATTCACACATGACTTACTCTTTGAGATGCCTCTTGGCATTGCCATTGTTCTCCATGTTGGAGGGGTTTTCCAGGTCACATGGCCAGGGCTCCTTGTCTGGGCTCTTGGGGTCGTGACCATGAAGCAGACTGTCAGAGCTCAGACTGGAGGAGAGCTGAGACGACCCTGTGGTGTCCAGGCTCAAATTGGAAGAATTTAGAGGGGTCCTACCCTCTGAGACCCCCCCAATCCCCTTCCCCAGCACCCCTGGTCCCCCTCGCTGCACTTCAACCGTATCCGACCCGCCGGACGACTGTGACACCGTATCCCAGGATTCCTTGCGCTTGGTGAGACAGGGGAGGTCGAGCACGTCGGCCTGGGCGGCAGGGCAGAGGCCGGCCAGAGCCAGAGGGGTGGTGGTCCACTCGTTGAGCACGGCCGACTTGTACGAGAGGTTGAAGGTGAGGGAGGCCAAGCCCTGGATGTAACTGAGCAGCACCTCACGCTCCTCAGGGTCCAGGAGCAGGGCGGAGGGCTGGTAGTGGGCCTGCAGTTTGGAGCCCTCGCGGAACAGGGAGGCCAGGTAGCACTCCATCAGGCCGTGGTTGAGGGCCAGCCGCAGCCAGGCCCGGCAACGACCCGTGTCCGTACCCACGAAGCTCAGCTTCTCCAGCTCCGTGATCACGTCACTGAGGGCACCAGGAGGAGACATTACATCATTTATCATTACAGAGAATCGTTTCATGTACAGTATACACTACACATATTGAAACAAGCTACGCCATTTGATCTGAAACCTTTACTATTGTCATTCTGCTTAACTACTGTAAATAAATAGCATTCTGCTTAACTACTGTAAATAAATAGCATTCTGCTTAACTACTGTAAATAAATAGCATTCTGCTTAACTACTGTAAATAAATAGCATTCTGTTTAACTACTGTAAATAAATAGCATTCTGCTTAACTACTGTAAATTAATAACATTCTGTGATTTGTTATACACACTTATTGCAACATAACAGAGAGGATATAAACATTCCATTATCTGAACTTCCAACTTCTCTAGCACACTAAAGTGAATGAGGATGGAGACACTGCACTACAGGCGTCTGTAGGGCTATCTATAGGGGAAGTGGGATTCTCATTATACAGCTTAAGGCTTCCACCCACCGGTGAGTGACCGTCTTGAGCAGGCTCCAGAACACAGGTTGGGGGAGGGGTCCCCGGGACCCCCCTTTCCTGGCGTGTCCCCCGGCCTCGGAGCGAACATATTTGCTCTTGATGCCATGGATAAAGACGGCCTCCAGTGCACAGCACAGCAGGTTGGCGTTACCATCCTCGCTGGTAACAACGACATCGGTTGTCACGTAACGCTTCTGCAGAGCCTTGAGTGCCCACGCCAACTTCTCTTTGATCCACTAAAGAAATGGTAAGATTGGGTTAAACCAAAATGGATATCTAGTATTTTCTCAGCTTCCATTTCACTGGGGCAGTCAACTCCAATCTTTCTCATATTCAATGACAACTTGAAATGTATGCCTATTATTGTGGAAATCAATGCAGTCATAGGTACATTACATAACTGAGTTAAAACCTCTTTGCATAAAGAAACAAAAAGTGACAGGCAGCGGGACATTATATTGCTTCCTTTATTGTAACTATCAGATCAGTCACATAATTACTTAAGATCGGCCTCGGGTCAAAATGTTGTTGCAAAGGTGGTAAGGAGCAATATAGTAGTACAGGGGAAGGGGGGGGGGGTAATGCACCAAATGTAAATATTGAACAGCCATGCATGTCCCCATCTGTAGCCTATTGGCTGTCTTGACTGAGTCTGCTTCTGGCACCAATAACATCCCTTCTCCTTCTATAGCAGCTCCTTTATTGGTCACTTAGCAGGATGTTACAGTTTAGCACCAGCTCTATGTCTAACTATCTATACCTTTCAGTGCCAATATGACTGTGATGACAATTTGTAAGTCGCTCTGGATAAGAGCGTCTGCTAAATGACGAAAATGTAATGTAAATGTAGTATGTGTGCCTTTAACATAGTGACAAACATGGACTTAGCCCAACAGCTGAAACATTTCCAAATGTCTTCAAATGTTTGAAGTGACACAATTTCACAATGGACTTCCCCAGATATTGGAAATTAATGGCAGAAAAGATGTGTCAACACTTTGAGAGTGTTCATTGGCCATGTGAATATGAAACATACCCTGACATGCAAGTCACCTGATGTCAGCTGACACTAGCAAAATGGCCAGAGGCCATCCATTTTACGCAATAACACACAAAACAGATTATTTATGAGCTACTGTTGGACAGGAATGTGTTATGGGCATCTGTCAACATGGCTCTTTGACATCTAAAATAGACTGTAAACCTACTTATTTTTAGGTCCTCTAGCTAACTTCTGCTCATGCAAGTTCTACCAACCTGACTACAAATGGGAACACTTGTTATCTTTATTTTCTCCAGTAAATAGGAACCATGGAAACTAGCCTAAAGTTTGAACTCATAAAACAAACCTTTGACTCACTGACGTTGTCTGGAAAACTTGACAATGACAGCATATTATTGATTATCTATGATATTTATCCCACAGACTACATTGCACAGCCACTAGCCTAAATCAAACATCAGAGTTCAGTTAAAGGAAAACTCCACCCAAAAACGATATTTTAGTTTCATTAGTCCATTATTGATATAATCCCAGAATGTTTTGCATGTCAGCAATCAAGTTTTCAACATGTATAACTTTCAAAATACAGAAATACAGCCGGTATGATGCATTTTGCATCATATGATGCTGCGTTTTGCAGTGTATTACTAGAACAGCAAAGATAGCCTACACAACTTAAACAAACATAAAATCAATATCTGACACTTTTTGAGTCACTTTATTTAAACCGGCTGTCATAAAGTAGTGCAATCACAAACCGTGACATAAAAATGTCACTACATCAGGGGCAGCATTAACGCGGAATTCTGCGTTTTTCCAGGCAGAAAAAAAAGATAAAACACATAAGAAATATCTTGCTGCGTTTTGTAAACGCAGATCTAAATTGCTTCTTATTGTAATTTCTGCTCGGTATCGGACTAATTTTGTGCTTCAGTTGCACTTCTGCACTCGGATGAGAATTCATGAGCAGGCATTCTATCAGCAAACAGTGCTCTGACTGATGTGTCGCTACTTTTCTCCTGTACTTTTCTCAGCGTAGCTTACTTTTCTCAGTTAAAATGCAAGATTAACTTCAAGCAAAACATTAAGAAATGTAGCTGGCTGCATTTTTTCTGTGATAAACATTCAAAAAAATCTGGCCATGCATCGTTTTTGCAAAAGATAACTAGCTTTTTCATTGTACGCTCATTTACTTGTGTGGCTGCTAGCCAAATATTGTATTTTATGTATTTTTTTCTCCCCAATTTCATGATATCCAATTGGTAGTTACAGTCTTGTCCCATCGCTGCAACTCCCGTACGGACTCGGGAGAGGCGAAGGTCGAGAGCCATGCGTCCTCTGAAACACAACCCTACCAAACCGCACTGCTTCTTGACACACTGCTCGCTTAACCCGGAAGCCAGCCGCACCAATGTGTTGGAGGAAAGACCGTACAACTGGCGACTGTGTCAGCGTGCATGCGCTCAGCCCGCCACAGAAGTTGCTAGAGCGCGATGGGACAAGGACATCCCGGCTGGCCAAAACCCTCCCCAAACCCGGACTACGCTGGGCCAATTGTGCGTCGCCTCATGGGTCTCCCGGTCACGGCCGGCTGCGACATAGCCCGGGATCGAACCAGGATCTCTAGTGACGCCTCAAGCACTGCAGTGCCTTAGACTGCTGCGCCACTCGGGAGGCCCTAGCCAAATAGTGTTGCACTTCTGTTGTCATCTGATGAAAATGAAGCCATTTTCTGCCGAATGTGTTGCACTAATGTATTTTCTGTGAAGGAAAACCATAGTTGCAAGCCCCTGATCACTCTATTGAAGCAAAAAACAAGTTTGGCTTTCAATATGAAATGCAGGTGAAATGGTTTAAAAGCAGATTTTTTGATGGTCTGTGTCTGAACTCTAACGCGACCCAATCTACTTGTCCACGCTGTCACTTACGTAAATAACTATGCCATGTCATATAGGCTAAGGTGTTTGACATAGTAACCTGGGTTTCTATGGAAATCAAGGTATCCCAGTATGCAATAAGCATTATGCTAAGCAATAAACATTCACATAGGCTTATTGTTAAAATACTAACATTGGTCATGCATAGACAGAGTCGATGTGTCACTCAAACCCTAACAGAGTATCTGTGAGAGAGATCTGATCGGATCACCTTTTCAGAGTCACGTGGAAGTGGTTTATGGGATTGGGTGGGCCATTAACAGTAAAAGATGTTTAGCCTACCTGCTTGACATCTTTTGCCTCTGGCCCTGTCTCTGGGGTCTGTGTGGCTAGCATCGCGCCTCCAGGGATGAGTTACTCCCACATGACATGCTGTGACATACACACAAGATATCTGCTGTGGTTATGCTGACAATAAGCTGAACAAACAACCCAATGAAAAACACTTTGTCACAGGGCTCTACAGTGCGACCATTTTACTTGTATATGCGGCTAAATATTTTGCTGTACAACTTGCAATTTAAATTTAGGAGCACCAGTGCGCCTAGAAAAATTTACAATTCTAGCATTATTACCTCAAATATTTGTCATTCTGCTCCTAAATGTATTTGTGTGAGCCTACATTTTTCAATTTAGGTGCACACGTGCTCCTTGTAGTTCTGCAATTTCCAGCTCCCTTTATTCTCCATTTAGGTGGCATTTGACATATTTTAAGGAAACAAACACATCAAGGGCTGTCACTAGAATATTCTAGTGTTAGTGACATTCATTGCCAGAAAAGAGAATCTGATTAAAATACTATTTCCACATCCTGCGGAGTCACACAATTTAGAGATCACAAGACTGTTTTATCTTACATCTGCATTTATGGTACGTGTGGACACGAGTTTAGACATCAATCACACAGTCTACTGAGGTTTTTGTTGACAGTAAGACAAATTGCCACAGAAAACAATATGACACCAGTGAGGAATATAACTTCCTGGAAGAAGGGAACGTGAACGTACAGTGAGTGCTCACGAGAGCATTAACGTGTGTTTGTCAAAAGCTTTGGCTTAATCACTGGAGCCCATCCCTTTATCGCAATTTGTATGACACTTAACTAACGGCTGTGTCTATCTAGTGGACAAAAATAACATATCTTTAAAATATATATATATATAATTCCTAAACCCTAATGTCCAGTGACAATGTTTACTTCTACAAATCAGCTGATTGAGAACCCCCAGTATTGTCGTAAAGAGATGTGCTAATAGAAGGCTAAATAAACAATATAGTTCTATAAATACAAAAATGCATGTATATTTGACAAGACACAGAAAGAAAAACATAAGGAACATAGCGTTACTAACTAGCTAGCTAGTTACTGTTAGATACCTACCGTGTTTATTGTTGGGTCAACGTCGCTAGCTAGCTAGTTAGCGATGTCCAAAACAAGCGATATTACAGGATATTTTCCACCACTGCTTTGTCGTTCTTGTTTGACTCCTACTTGGACAGCAACATTGTATCGTATGATACCATTTCACAGTCATTTATTTCACATGTACATTCCTGAATCCGAGACCGGACAAAAAAAAGTCCACTCGAATGTGACTGCAATCTTTAGTTTAGGTTCAGGCAGAGATATCAGAGAGGAGGAGATGGGAATCCCATTGGGCAATGAATGAGGTATAAACCTCCACCCAGCAGACTGTCGACCAATCGCCTTAATGTTGTTATAATGCATCACACGGTTGCTAAGATAATCGTCATCCAATCCCTTCTCAAAGTCCGGGTATGAGTCGAGAAACCTGTCTATTTTCCTCGAAAATACACAATATTACGACTCCAAAGCTATACGATATTACATCTCAGAAAATATTTGCAATGTTTTAATTCTTGTTCACGAAATGCATGCTAATGTTGGGTTTTTTAGCTAGCGCCCAATTGACTCCCATTTACTCCTTGAAGGAGAGCTCTTCTTGTCCCAGAATAGCCCAGAATGCACTGTGCGGCTCATTGACAACGCATGGGTAAAGTACGCAATGGGCATTAACACGATTCCATCTCCTCAAAAGTGTCTCTGGTTCAGGTTCAGCTCAGCTGAGAGTACAAATGCATCATGGGATATGTCTGGCTCTACTGCACTTGCAGAACTTGCGGGCTTGCAGCAAAGTTATATGTGCGCTTGCAAGCAACCAGATGGGACCAGCTACTGTGCCCTACTAGGTGCCCAAAATATGTCAGCTTCATGTAAAAGCTAAATGCTTCTAATTCCTGTTCATTGAGGTTTTGTTGGATAAATAGTCTGGTTGCAGAAGCCTTCCAGAACCAGGTGTGCTCTGGTATGTTCATTTGGCAATATAGGACAACATTCTGCTCTAGCATACCCTTACCCCAACATATTCTTTATAGGCTATGGCTGTATGTCCTATGGGCCTAGGGCCATATGCTATGTTTGTCAGTTAATAAAAGCTTGTAACTTTTCCACATGATCGTTTCTTTGAATTCTTTGGAGGTTTGCCCAATGCATTGGATTTGTTCATACTATTAGGTCTACTGATTTTGGTTTGTTTTGTGTACAGTGTGTTGTCCTAGTTTTTTCTAAAGCATTTCTATGTGTGTGTTTTCTTCTCTTCTTAATTTTTTGAAATAAAGGATGTTGCACTGTTCAGCAATAGAACATTAGAAAAGTAAGAAAGCATGAGAAAAAAATTAGATTGAGTGAATTAAAGGGATTACTGTAACATACCATAGCTTTTTTATCTGTTCATAATCAGTACTCCAGGAAATGTGGCACAGCACTAGGAGTTAACTTTTTCTCGCTTTGCAAAGGTTGCTGCTGAGTATGCATGATTGAGCCTAGTGCCATGGTATTTACTGTTTGATTGAATGACACTAACAGTGTATAGACAGTTTCTATTTTGCAATGATACTAACCTCTCATATTGATGAAAGACATTTACCACAAACAATGGTCCAGAGACCAATATCAAATAGAGGCCAAGCTAGGCCTTTATGGTGTAGCAGCTAATGTATTTATTTATCATTTGATTAACAAATAGGCTTGTTACCATATAGACTGTATTGTTACATAGAGTTACAGAGCTTCACAATAAAAGGTGAGTAATGTCCAATGGTATTGAATGTCCAATCACAAGAGGAATACCTATGTACGAATACTGTAAGAATGCTGTTCATTGACTATAGCTCAGCATTCAACACCATAGTACCCTCCAAGCTCATCATTAAGCTTGAGGCCCTGGGTCTCAACCCCACCCTGTGCAATTGGGTCCTGGACTTACTGATGGGCCGCCCCCAGGTGGTGAAGGTAGGAAACAACATCTCCACTTCACTGATCCTCAACACTGGAGCCCCACAAGGGTGTGTGCTCAGCCCCCTCCTGTACTCCCTGTTCACCGATGACTGCGTAGCCATGCACGCCTCCAACTCAATCATCAAGTTTGCAGACGACACAACAGTAGTAGGCTTGATTACCAACAACGATGAGACAGCCTACAGGGAGGAGGTGAGAGCTCTCGGAGTACGGTGTCAGGAAAATAGCCTCTCAATCAACGTCAACAAAACAAAAGAGATGATCGTGGACTTCAGGAAACAGCAGAGGGAGTATCCCCCCTATCCACATCGACGGGACAGCAGTGAGAAGGTGGAAAGTTTTAAGTTCCTCTGCATACATACAGTGGGGGAAAAAAGTATTTAGTCAGCCACCAATTGTCAAGTTCTCCCACTTAAAAAGATGAGAGAGGCCTGTAATTTTCATCATAGGTACACGTCAACTATGACAGACAAAATGAGAAAAACAAATCCAGAAAATCATATTGTAGGATTTTTAATGAATTTATTTGCAAATTATGGTGAAAAATAAGTATTTGGTCAATAACAAAAGTTTCTCAATACTTTGTTATATACCCTTTGTTGGCAATGACACAGGTCAAACGTTTTCTGTAAGTCTTCACAAGGTTTTCACACACTGTTGCTGGTATTTTGGCCCATTCCTCCATGCAGATCTCCTCTAGAGCAGTGATGTTTTGAGGCTGTCGCTGGGCAACACGGACTTTCAACTCCTTCCAAAGATCTTCTATGGGGTTGAGATCTGGAGACTGGCTAGGCCACTCCAGGACCTTGAAATGCTTCTTACGAAGCCACTCCTTCGTTGCCCGGGCGGTGTGTTTGGGATCATTGTCATGCTGAAAGACCCAGCCACGTTTAATCTTCAATGCCCTTGCTGATGGAAGGAGGTTTTCACTCAAAATCTCACGATACACGGCCCCATTCATTCTTTCCTTTACACGGATCAGTCGTCCTGGTCCCTTTGCAGAAAAACAGCCCCAAAGCATGATGTTTCCACCCCCATGCTTCACAGTAGGTATGGTGTTCTTTGGATGCAACTCAGCATTATTTTTCCTCCAAACACGACGAGTTGAGTTTTTACCAAAAAGTTCTATTTTGGTTTCATCTGACCATATGACATTCTCCCAATCCTCTTCTGGATCATCCAAATGCACTCTAGCAAACTTCAGATGGGCCTGGACATGTACTGGCTTAAGCAGGGGGACACGTCTGGCACTGCAGGATTTGAGTCCCTGGCGGCGTAGTGTGTTACTGATGGTAGGCTTTGTTACTTTGGTCCCAGCTCTCTGCAGGTCATTCACTAGGTCCCCCCGTGTGGTTCTGGGATTTTTGCTCACCGTTCTTGTGATCATTTTGACCCCACGGGGTGAGATCTTGCGTGGAGCCCCAGATCGAGGGAGATTATCAGTGGTCTTGTATGTCTTCCATTTCCTTATAATTGCTCCCACAGTTGATTTCTTCAAACCAAGCTGCTTACCTATTGCAGATTCAGTCTTCCCAGCCTGGTGCAGGTCTACAATTTTGTTTCTGGTGTCCTTTGACAGCTCTTTGGTCTTGGCCATAGTGGAGTTTGGAGTGTGACTGTTTGAGGTTGTGGACAGGTGTCTTTTATACTGATAACAAGTTCAAACAGGTGCCATTAATACAGGTAACGAGTGGAGGACAGATGAGCCTCTTAAATAAGAAGTTACAGGTCTGTGAGAGCCAGAAATCTTGCTTGTTTGTAGGTGACCAAATACTTATTTTCCACCATAATTTGCAAATAAATGTATAAAAAATCCTACAATGTGATTTTCCGGATTTTTTTTCCTCAATTTGTCTGTCATAGTTGACTTGTACCTATGATGAAAATTACAGGCCTCTCTCATCTTTTTAAGTGGGAGAACTTGCACAATTGGTGGCTGACTAAATACTTTTTTCCCCCACTGTATCACTGACAAACTGAAATGGTCCAACCACACAGACAGTATGGTGAAGAAGGCGCAACAGCGTCTCTTCAACCTCAGGAGGCAGAAGAAATGTGGCCTGTCACTTAAAACCCTCACAAACTTTTACAGATGCACAATTGAGAGCATCCTGTCGGGCTGTATCACCGCCTGGTACGGCAACTGCACTGCCCACAACCGCAGGGCTCTCCAGAGGGTGGTGCGGTCTGCACAACACATCACCGCGGGCAAGCTACCTGCCCTCCAGGACACCTACAGCACCCGATGTCACAGGAAGGCCAAAAAGATAATCAAGGACAACAACCACCCGAGCCACTGCCTGTTCACCCCGTTATCATCCAGAAGGCAAGGTCAGTACAGGTGCATCAAAGCTGGGACAGAGAGACTAAAAAACAGCTTCTATCTCAAGGCCATCAGACTGTTAAACAGCCATCACTAGCACAGAGAGACTGCTGCCTACATACAGACTTGAAAATCACTGGCCACTTTAATAAATGGAACACTAGTCACTTTAAATAATGCCACTTTAATAATGTTTACATATCTTGCATTACTCGTCTCATGTGTATATACTGTATTCTATACTATCTATTGCATCTTAGCCTATGCCGCTCTGACAATGACATTGCTCATCTATATATTTATATATTCTTATTCCATTCCTTTACTTCGATTTGTGTGTATTAGATAATTGTTGTGGAACTGTTCGATATTACTTGCTAGATATTACTGCACTGTTGGAACTAGAACCACAAGCATTTCGCTACACTCGCAATAACATCTGCTAACCATGTGTATGTGACCAATACGTTTGGTTTGATTTGATCAACGGGATAATCCATCTAATCATCACTGATATGTCTGCTTTGGATTTTGACATGAGACAACCCATAGTTCTCCCATAGTACAGATAGCTTTACAACTCATATCAGTTTATGTAAGCTAGTAGAACTGTGAAAGGGACATACAAAATAGAAAGAAAGAAAGACTCAGAAATATATTTGAGAGCTATAACCCATAGGTGACCGAAAGTGTTAGCAAAGATGGCGGATAAATGTAGATAGTTCAATCAGGCCGTTTACCATTGAAATAATTTGTCCGTTTCCGTCTGTCCTCTAGTGATTTTTTAACTTTTCTTGTTGAAAAGCGATATCCCAAGTATAAATACAGTAAAGTACACACACTAAAGGGTAATTTTTTCTGTAAAATAGTGTTTTTAGACACAACTGCAAACTTCAAGGAGTAGGGCATTCTAGGAGTTGGTTTGATGGGAAGTCGTGTTGTCATCGGCCTCCCCCTTGCTTGAGGAAAAATAGAGGAGCAATAGAGAACAAAAGAGGAAAGGCCCACCCCCACACTTGTGATATTTCATGATTTACCTGGACCACCTATTGAGATGTGTCTTTTGTTAAGTAAATCAGATGTTAAAGGAGGGGTGTATCACTTGAGTGGGTTGAGTCACTGACGTGATCTTCCTGTCCGGTTTTGCACCCCCACGGGGTCATGCGGTGGAGGAGACCTTTGTGGGCAATACTCAGCCTTGTCTCTGGATAGTAAGTTGGTGGTCAGTTGATATCCCTTTAGGGTTGTGGGGGCTGTGCTTTGGCAAAGTGGGTGGGGTTATATCCTGCCTGGTTGGCCCTGTCCGAGGATATCGTCAGACCGAAAAGCCTACTGACATTTACTCTTGAGGTACTGACCTGTTACACCCTCTACAACCACTGTGATTATTATTTGACCCTGCTGGTCATCTTGAAGAACAATCTGGCCTTAATGGCCATGTACTTTTATAATCTCCACCTGGCACAGACAGAGGAGGACTGGCCACCCCTCAGAGCCTGGTTCCTCCCTAGGTTCCTTCCTAGGTTCCTGCCTTTCTAGGGAGTTTTTCCTAGCCACCGTGCTTCTAGGAAAGGGAAAAGGGGGATACCTAGTCAGTTGTACAACTGAATGCATTCAACTGAAATGTGTCTTCCGCATTTAACCCAACACCTCTGAATCATAGAGGTGCGGGGGGCTGCCTTAATCGACATTCACGTCATCGGCACCCGGGGAACAGTGGGTTAATTGCCTTGCTTGTACATCTGCATTGCTTGCTGTTTGGGGTTTTAGGCTGGGTTTCTGTATCGCACTTTGTGACATCTGCTGATGTAAAAAGGCTTTATAAATACATTTGATTGATTGATTGATTAAATGAGTTGAAAATAAGACTGGCGTGCCACCTATACAGCGCCACCCAGTGGAGACAGTCCCACATGTGACATTACACAGAAACACAGAGGTTCCAAACGGTGCTATAAACTCATGGCAGGATTAAACAGATGGGTATTCAGATAAGATTTACTTGGGTCCCAGCCCATGTGGGGGTGGAGGGGAACGAGGCAGTAGATCAACAGGCTAAACAAGCACTTAGTAGTGGGGATGTTGATGTTGAAGTTTCAATGAACAAGGCAGAGGCAAGAATAATGATATATACAGTGATGGTGCAGAGATGGCAGGAGCAGTGGAATAGAGATAATAAGGGAAGGCATTTATTTCAAGTACAGAGGAATGTCGGGGAGGGGAGGACGGCAGGAAGGGACAGAAGAGGGGAGGCTATTTTTACAAGATTAAGGTGGGACACAGCCAGTTGAATTAGACATTAAATGTGATAGGAAAGCATCCAACAGGAAAGTGTGATTATTGTCAGGAAACACAGACTGTGGAGCATGTATTGCTACAGTGTGGGCAGTATCAGAGGGAAAGAGAGATGATGATATCTAGTATGAGGGAGAAGGGGATACAGGAAATTAGTTTAAAGAGTATATTGAGTAGAACGTAATTAGATATAGTCTAAAATATTTTGTTATATTTTTTAAGAGAAACGGGGCTGGCAAGTAGGATTTAGTTTCTCCGTGTCTATGGCACACATTCCAGTACAGTAGGTGGCGGTAATGTGCCATAACGTTGGATGCCAACCGCCGATAAACCCCACTGAAGAAGAAGAAGGTTCCAAACGGAAATGTGTTGTACCGAAAATGTGGCGCGAGACATAGCCAATGTTGTGTGTACATACAAATGTTTGAAGTAAAAACCTAATCTAAAACAGTTCCAGCCACTGCATTGATTATACATTTGGGGAACTGCGTTGCTTTATGAGACGGACGGCATAGGAACCGACGTTCCTCAAGGCAAATATGCCCCGTAGACGACAGGTACGAAAAATGTAGGTCGGAAGCTAACGTTACGTTAGCTAGCTGGATAAGCTAAATTGGCTAGCTATGCTGCTAGCATAAGGTTGCTAAAATGTTAGCTAGTTGTTAGCCAGCGGTCTCTATGTATTCGAAGGTATTTATCTTTCTTAACTAACTAACTAGCTAGCTAACTTAATGCATAACTATCTAGTTAGCTACTGCAGATAACGTAAGTTAGCTAGCTTAAAATGGCCTCTTTTTTAACGCTTGCAAGGTAGCTCGCTAGCTAATGCTACAATTGTGTTTTGCTTATGTTGCGTTCCCTATTTGGCTAACTAACGTTAACTGACTAGCTAGCTAGGTACCTAGTTAGGCTGTGTTTACATTCAGATTTATAGAGGGTAACTAGCTAGTTGTATATGTCATTCATGAGAAATTGATACATTTGAAGTAGCTAACGTTAGCAACAATTATATAGCTAGAGACATCATGAAAAGTAAATAGTTAGCTAGCTAGTAATCTTCTAGTTACCTGGCTAACGTTAGCCCTATAATTCTCTCAGAGTGTGCATTTGGGGAGTGGCTCTGATGGGACTGAAGATTCAGACTCTTCTGCTGAGAGAGAACAGACGAACAGCTCAGAGAGTGATGGAAACATGCCCAAGAGAACACGCCTCACAAGAGCATCTCTACGCCTCAGCCAAAGCTCACAAGGTAAAGAAAACCATGGGATGGATGCTTTAGCTGTGAATCAAAACCTACATTGCAACTGTAGTAGTTAGGCTAGCGAACAACGAGTCAATCACCTGTGTATGAGACCTTGTGAGGGCTGCCAATTGCTAGAAGATTCCATTATTGTATCCTACGTTGTCAGTGTAGCTGAGTGTTGTGCCGTTTCTCCCACATGCCAATGTAGACACACCAGATGTGAAGCGAGTCGGCGACCATGATGAGTCTCCGCCGTTGACGCCCACAGGCAACGCCCCATCATCTGAGTCCGAGCTGGACATCTCCAGCCCCAACGCCTCCCACGACGAGAACGTGGCCAAGGACCCCGCCCTCAGAGACTCAGACAAGGACCTCTCCCACCGGCCCAAGCGCCGCCGCTGCCACGAGACCTACAATTTTAACATGAAGTGTCCCACGCCAGGATGCAACTCACTGGGTAAGACAATTTACCTTTGGTTAGTGGCACTACTGCTATTTTAGTGGCTGCTCAACAAGACTTGTAATGATTCTTGTTATTATTCTTATTATGAAATATCTCTGGTCAATTAAATTAATTATATGTAAACTCATTGCTCTCTTGTTTCTTGCAGGACATCTAACAGGGAAACACGAACGCCATTTTGCGGTTTCAGGATGCCCTCTTTACCATAACCTCTCTGCTGACGAATGCAAGGTAAATATGTCATAAAAATATTTGGCATTGCTTATGTGCTTATTGAGGTACATTAACTTAATTGTGTCGTACAATCAGAGCTACAGAGAATCAAATGCCCAATACGTTTATTCATCCTTTTTATTGATAGGTGAAAGCAACTACTCGCGAGAAACACGAAGAAGAAACAAAGGTGCAGGAGGAAAGCAACAGACACGCCACACGACATCAGGTAAAATGAATTAAATTAATATTGAGTACTTTTTAAGGTGATTAATTTTATCATGTAAAAAATAAATGTACAAAAATAGTTAAAATCACAATGAATTCCTGTTGTGTTCACCAGACACCCACATCAAAACAGACAAGATACAAAGAGCAGGTGACAGAGATGAGGAAGGGGAGGAACTCTGGGCTACCCAAGGAGCAGAAGGAGAAATACACGGTGAGACACAGCACAGATCTCCCCATTCAAATGACTAGAGTGAGAATCATGTTTGCTATGGGGATCCTCTGGTCTCTTGGCCCTCCCCCCCTACAGGAGGGCAGCTCCCGCTCAGCCCAGTCAAAGCTCTTCTCTGTCCTTGCACCGCAATGGTGGAACAAGCTTCCCCCTAATGTCAGGACAGCGGAGTCCCTGCCCATCTTCCGAAAACATCTGAAAACCTACCTCTTTAAAGAGTATCTTGAATAAATCCCATTTATTGACACAATCAGCAATCCGTCACCCAGCCGTTTTTCTTTCCATCTCGTCTACAGGAGCATCGACAGAGCCACGGCAACACCAGAGAACCTCTTCTGGAGAACATCACTAGTGACTATGACCTGGAGCTTTTCAGAAAAGCCCAGGCACGCGCATCTGAAGATCTGGTAAGACAAAAACCTCAGTGCACCTTCCTCCTTCATGCATAATAAACCAATAGTGATCTAGATTGTATTGTAGATAAGATGTTCTTGGTAGTTTAGAAGAATTTCATATTTCTCCTCTCTCGTTTCGCGCTTATTGAAAACGCCACAGGAGAAGCTGCGGATCCAGGGCCAGATCACAGAGGGCAGCAACATGATCAAGACCATCCTTTTCGGCCGCTACGAGCTGGACACGTGGTACCACTCGCCCTACCCTGAGGAGTATGCCCGCCTGGGACGTCTCTACGTCTGCGAGTTCTGCCTCAAGTACATGAAGAGCCAGACCATTCTGAGACGACACATGGTAAGATATACAGTGCCTTCAGAAAGTATTCATACCCCTTGACTTTTTCCCCCAAAAAATTGTTACAGCCTGAATTCAAAATAGATTCAATATATTTTTTTCTCTCACCCGTCTACACACAATACCCCATAATGACAAAGTGAAAACATGTTTTTAAAAAATGTATTGAAAATAAAATACAGAAATATCTCATTTACGTAGGTATTCACACCCCTTTGCTATGCCACCCCAAATTGAGCTCCAGTGCATCCAATTTACTTTGATCATCCTTGAGCTGTCGCTACAACTTTATTGGAGTCCACCTGTGGCCAATTCAGTTGTTTGGTCATGATTTGGAAAGAAACACACCTGTCTATATAAGGTCCCACAGTTGACAGTGCATGTCAGAGCAGAAACTGTACCATGAAGTCCAAAGAACTGTCCGTAGATCTCCGAGATAGAATTGTGATGAGATATGTACTGTATCTGGGGAAGGGTATAAAACTATTTATAGTTTCAAAAGTGATTTCCCAAATTATTTGTTTATCCAACTGTTTGATTATTGTATAAGGATCGAGTTAGACAAAATGCTGGCTGTACAATTAAGCTTGCTAGCTAAATGAAAACTTAAGCTGCGTCCATGTTGCTTTGAGTAACTACACACTTAAGCCTTGAACAGACCACCAAGACTATCTGCCGCAGTACTTGGCACCTCTGCCCAGAATGTCAGTCAACTTTTTTTGTGTACACGTAGCACAGTCAGCACAGTCAGCCTGGTCATCATTTTCCTACATCACTCCTGTATACATCAATGTTTTAAATAATAAATAAAAAAAGACTGTAAATATCAGAGTAGGCCTTTAATTGGGTTTGAGTGAGCAAATCAATAGTGTTGTCTCCCTGTGTGTTTGTTAGGCCAAGTGTGTGTGGAAGCATCCACCAGGAGATGAGGTCTACAGAAAGGGAGCCATATCTGTCTTTGAGGTGGACGGCAAGAAGAACAAGGTGAGGGCCCTATATGCTTTAGTTGTTCCCGAGTGGTGCAGTGGTCTAAGGCACTGCATCGCAGTGCTAGCTGTGCCACTAGAGATCCTGGTTCGAATCCAGGCTCTGTCGTAGCCGGCCGCGACCGGGAGACCCATGGGGCGGCGCACAATTGGCCCAGCGTCGTCCAGGGTATGGGAGGGAATGGCCGGCAGGGATGTAGCTCAGTTGGTAGAGCATGGCGTTTGCAACGCCAGGGTTGTGGGTTCGAAAATAATGTATGCACTCACTAACTGTAAGTCGCTCTGGATAAGAGCGTCTGCTAAATGACGTAAATGTAAAATGTAAATGTGTTAAACTTGGACTCGTACACAAAGAATGCTGTTTTCCTGTCTCCTTTTTATTTTTCAAAATAGGTATATTGGCTCAGGTCTAAAGAGCAAATAAATAATCATGGTTGAATTATTACCTTTCGTTTTGTCATGTCTCACATTTCTTCAGGGACCCTAACCCCAGGGGTGCCTTGCACTCCTATAAAACAAGCTACATATAATATAAATAGATGGTTTAGGATAGGTGCGGTGAAATGTGTTGTTTTACAGGGTCAGCCATGGTAGTACGGCACCCCTGGAGCAAATTAGGGTTAAGTGCTTTGCTTAGGACATATCTACTTGCCGCCCCTACATTGTCCCTGGCAAGGTCTTTGGGGAATTTTAATTGGTGGGTGGTTTCCTTTTCCAGATCTACTGCCAGAACCTGTGTCTACTCGCCAAGCTCTTCCTGGATCACAAGACGCTGTACTACGACGTGGAACCCTTTCTGTTCTACGTTATGACTGAGGCAGACAACACAGGCTGCCATCTTGTGGGATACTTCTCTAAGGTATCCACCCACTATACTCCATTCACATTGATAGTGGATGCCTGTCTCCCATAACTTTTTGATACGGTTTATAATAGAGCTTTAGATTTAAAGATGAGACACAGACACATCCTCTGTTCTTTCAGGAGAAGAACTCTTTCCTCAACTACAACGTCTCCTGCATCCTGACAATGCCCCAATACATGAGGCAGGGCTTTGGGAAGATGCTGATTGACTTCAGTAAGTATAGGCTACCTCTGTTTTCTCCTTGTAACTACTGCCAGTTGGAATTTCCAGATGCAGAATATTTTGTTAAGCCCCCAGGAATGAAAACAAAAGAGTCTTGCTGATTTTAATTACACAGACAACACCGAAAGTGCTGGTAAAAAAAATATGTCTGGCTTTAATGCCCTGAAAGCAAGTTCTTTATGTGTTGACATTACGTGGTTATTGCAGTAGAAACTACAGTTAATTTAGCTGTTTTGCTTTTCTCCACCAGGTCTCATTGCTATGTAAGTGCAGTCCATCTCATTGTTTATTAGAACTGCTACTGACCGCCCTGCCTGCCCTATCCCCTTTCTGTAGGTTACCTGCTGTCCAAGGTGGAGGAGAAGGTGGGCTCCCCAGAGAGGCCCCTCTCGGACCTGGGCCTCATCAGCTACCGTAGCTACTGGAAAGAAGTGCTGCTGCGTTACATGTACAACTTCCAGGGCAAGGAGATCTCCATCAAAGGTGACAAAGGATTTGACATAGATGACTGAATTTTTGCAAATATGTTTGGGTGCTTAACGCCACATTTTGAAACAATCTACAATTAGTTTGGGGTCGAAGTTGAGGTTTGAAAATGACGCTGGCAAATGATGTAGCTTGTTCAGGTCCACACACACACCATACACAGACACTCACACATAATCTCCAACGTGTTCCCTTTAAATTCCTACTATGGTTATGCATTTGCAATGTTTTCTGTTAGGAACCGTTTTAATTTGGGTCTGTCTATATATAGGCCAATTCTCCTCTCCGAACTAATTAGTCCCTAGGTGGAGCATCAAACTGCTTAACCAACATGCAGTAAACCTGGAAAGGCTACCCTTGATTTTGCACTGTATTTGTCATGTATTCGCTGTAGCTTGTGTGTATATAGCCCTATCAATCTGTTTTATGGTTTGTAAATGTTGATTATTTAATATTGTTAATTATTTAGCTTGTTCAGGTTAGCCTCAATTTCATTTGAACACTACCAAGCATTTGAATGATTAGGAATAGCATATGAAATGGTACTCTTGGCAGGATTCCGTATTTTTAATGAGTGTGTGAAGAGCTGTATGTCGTACTTGTGTGTGTTCAGAGATCAGCCAGGAGACAGCTGTGAACCCAGTGGACATTGTCAGCACCCTGCAGTCCCTGCAGATGCTTAAGTACTGGAAGGGAAAGCACCTCGTCTTGAAGAGACAGGTAAGTGTGTGTCATGACAATATCAACATCGGTTAACCCTTTACACTCTGAGCCCATGTACGGGATCAAAATGGGAGATTTGGTCACTGATAAGAGCTGAAATTGGTACGCAGTGGCTGTACAGTAACATACTATACATTACATCAGATCTCTGGTTCTCCGCTTTACGATGTATAGCTTTCAACTGACAGACGTTCTAAACGGGACTACCACCCGCTAGCTACAAGTGTGCTTGCTTCAGTTCCTCCAAAGGCACAGCCAGGAAAGCAAAAAAAAAAAGCACCTAATAGTTGAATGCTCTACTCTGCCTGAGTCATAAAAGTGTATTGAAATGACTGTGCACACTTTGGAGAGCTGTGAGTGGCCACTGGAGACACCAGCGAGACCTTTCATTCAAACCCCTGTAATTTGATGTCTTATGTTGTATCTACCCCAGATTTTGCATGAATATTCTTATATTATTGAATTTATCCAGAGTTATAGTATTTCCAGATTTCGCTATCGAAAAAATGGCTGCAAAAAAGTACAGCGAAGGTCAAATGCACATAAAATCAGCAGCGTGATGTTTGAATTCGGTCCTGTCTCAGATTAACTGTTGTCCTCACCTTTGTTCACATAGTTTCCTCATCCTCTCCAAAGTGTTCCCTTTCAATTGCAACTGTGATTGGGGCCTATCTATATAGGCCAATTCCTCCGAGTGTAAAGGGTTAAGTAATGTGTTGTCCCCCATCACATGTACCCAACAGTGTGTGTGACATCACAATTCGGCCCAGTTTGTCAGTTAATACCCTCCTTTCATTTGACAAACTGCTCAACATGCACTAGACTAGGCACCTAAAACCTGGGAAGGAGGAGTTCTGTGAACATTTGAGCTATCTTTTGATTTTGCACTGTGTTTGTCATGTATTTGCTGTAGCTTGTGTGTATGTAGTGCTGTCTATCTGTTGTATGTGGTTGTCGGTTGTCATCTGCAGTGGGTATCATAAGTATTCACCCCCTTGGATTTCTTCACATTTTGTGTTACAAAGTGTGATTTAAAGTGGATTTAATTTTCATTTTTTGGTCAACGATCTACAAAACACTCATGTCAGTGGAATATATATATATATATTTTTTTATTTATTTATGTGAAATAAAACATTAATATACTGTACTTTCAAGTATTCAACCCCCTGAGTCAATACATGTTAGAAACACCTTTGGCAGCGATTACAGCTGTGCATCTTCTTGGGTAAGTTTTTAAGAGCTTTGCGCACCTGGATTGTACAATATTTGCCTATTTTTCTTTTCAAAATTCTTCAAGCTCTATCAAAACTGTAACTTGGCCACTCAGGAACATTCACTGTCTGCATGGTAAGCAACTCTAGTATAGATTTTGCCTTGTGTTGTAGGTTTAGGTTATTGCCCTGCTGAAAGGTGAATTCCTCTCCCAGTGTCTGGTGTAAAGCAGACTGAAGCAGGTCCTCCTCAAGGATTTTGCCTATGCTTAGCTCCATCCCATTTCTTTTTATCCTGAAAAACTCCCCAGTCTTTGCCGATATCAAGCATACCCATACCATGATGCAGCCACCACCATGCTTGAAAATAAGGAGGCAGTTACTCAGTGATGTGTTGGATTGGCCCCAAACATAAGGCTTGGCATTTAGGCCAAAAAGTATATTCCTTTGCCATGTTTTTTTTTACAGTATTACTTTAGTGTATTGTTGCATACAGGATGCATGTTTTGGAATATGAATATTTGTATTCTATTTCTCTGTCATTATTGTGGAGTCACTACAATGTTGTTGATCCATCCTCAGTTTTCTCCTATCACAGCCATTGAACTCAGTAGCTGTTTTAAAATCACCAAAGGCCTCATGGTGACATCCCTGAGCAGTTTCCTTCCTGTCCTGTAGCTCAGTTCAGAAGGACGACTATCTTTGATGTGTCTGGGTGGTTTAATACATCATCCACAGCATAATTATTAATATGACCATGCTTAAACTGATATTCAATGTCTGATTCGTTATTGTTACCCATCTACCAATCACTGCCCTTCTTTGAGGCTTTTGAAAAACTCCCTGGTCTTTGTAGTTAAATCTGTGCTTTAAATTCAATACTTGACTAAGGGACCTTACACTTTTATGGGGTACAGAGGAAGGGGTAGTCATTCCAAAATCATTTCAACCCCTTGTAACTTATGTGATTTGTTAAGCCACATTTTACTCCTGAACTAATTTAGGCTTGCATAAAGAAAGGGGGTGAATACTTAAGCAATAACTATATTTTAGTGATTTAATTTTTATTATTTTGTTCAAATTTGTATAATAATCCAAGGGGGATGAATACTTATGAGACCCACTGTATGTCATGTCTGTAAATGTTGGTAATTTTATGTCGTCTTTGACTCGGTGCTCTTGAATCCGAGACAAATTCCTCTAAAAGGCCAATAAATGAATTGAACAGAACTCCCCCCTCACAGGACCTGATCGATGAGTGGAAAGCCAAGGAGACGAAAAGAGGCAGCAACAACAAAACCATCGACCCCAGCTCGCTAAAATGGACGCCGCCCAAAGGGACATAGACTATAGGCTCACAAGTGAGCCACTTAATAGACTCTACTTTCTTCTACCACACCTTCCGGGATAGGAGTCCTATCAATACCACAATGTTCTTCTATCCTTAAACCCACCCAGTAGCTGCCCCTTACTTGGTTTTTTTTTGTCTGGAGGAACTCTCTTCCCCTGTTTTACATTTCGACTTGTATTTATATTTTAGTAATGTGTCACCATTCAATCGATTCTTGGCTGAAATATTGTTAAACAATGAAGGTTACAGAATTTGAGTTGGTGACTTGTTTTAAAAGATCCACTTAAAGATGAGCTATGAATGTAGTTACATCTCGTCTGAGCTCTGACACTAGTGGATCACATGATGAGTGTTTTGCTTCTTTGTCCACAAAAAGAAAGACACACCTCTGACATGCTGCAGCATTCCTGGCTATTTTATTTCATTCAACACAGTTGCGGTTGTTTGCAGAGACAAGTACATTTTTGGGGATAGAATATACAATCATCAGCATGAACTTTGATACCTTAGACATTTTCTTCTTACAAGTATGAGATACTGTTTCGTTTTGTATGGTAGTCATTTTTGAGTCGATATCAAAATTGTATAGGTCATGAAAACAAATATTTTTTTCTAGCTTTAGTAATACTGGAGTTGGTCCCATTCCTTTTGTGAATCTGCCAAATGAAGAAATAAAAATATGACATACCAGTTAAAATGTTTGGTTTGCATTTAGTCAACATGAATACAAGTTTACATGTATATTTTACTGTGCAAACTGTACATTACAATGTTACAAAGTGCTCTCAGGTTTTAACTATAACATCAATGTATACGACAGACCTGGTTGTGTGTCTGATCCCTCAGCAACATCGATCGCAGTGCTTGGAGCATCTGGAATGATCCTCGTGAACGATTCTGCAGCAACAAAATAGCATTTGGTTATGACACACGACTGCAATGGTTGATACCGGTTTTAGATTTTACTTATCTCTGCTGTGTTTTTGTCAACAAACAAAAAATGCCTTGAGATTTAATATAATATAAATCATGCTATTTAGCAGACACTTTTATCCAAAGCGATTTAGTCATCCGTGTATACATTTTACGTATGGGTGGTCCCGGGAATTGAACCCACACTGCAAGCGCCAAGCTCTACGAACTGAGCTACAGAGGATTTTATATGAAGTGTAATAATTCTTACCCCCACTTGGTGATCTTCTTCCCATAAGTCCAACAAACATATCCCCTTTATTTCCTGTTGAAGACAACACCAGGAAAGAGTCATTTAAAAGGAAATGCATTGTCGCTTTGTTGATATGATTTAGATACTGAATAATCTACAATATAGTATGTGGACCAGAGTGTACTGTATAGGCTACCACTATTCTAAAAAGTATTTTTCATTAGTCCAGTGTGCTATACTTACGTCTTCTATCCACTCTAATAGGCTGCTGCTGAACGTCTGTAATTAAAGGGACTTGATAAGCACTCCAAATATTTGCTTTTCTTGTCAATTAGATATAATATATACTGAACATACAGTACACAAACAATTTGTATTCTAGTCTACCTCAATCAAGATCCCTTTCAAGTCTTTCTTGTAATGGACAGGCAGAACGTTATAGTGCTTACCTGAGCGTTTGCCCATGAGCCCGTAGAACTGATGGGCTTTGGATCTCTTTATCATACTAGCCACTTGGCTGGCCAACCTCTCTTCCAGTGAGACCTCTCTTCCTTCATCCTGGGGAAAGGATTAAAGAGATTTATTTTTCAAAACATTTTTTTATTGATTTATTTGTCCAAGTGAAAAATACATTTTCAATTGTGACAATTATTGCTCCGTAATATTTTTTTTTGGGTTCAAATCATTAATATACAAATTATATAAACTCATATCTTGATAATAGAAATCTAAATGTTCCACTTACCTGCCAGTCTTTGGATACCCAGTGTTCCTTGTCAACACTAAACGACAATCCCTGACATGTAAACACCAGGGTATACAGGGTAACTATTACCAGCTGGAATTTCAAAATATCCATTGAATGTAATGATACCAGGCAAAACTATATTAAAATAAGCCTCTTTTTACTTCAGAAAGATATATTTTAAAGCAATAATAACAGTTGGCTGTTGAGTGAGCTCAGAAAAGATCTGGTATCTTCTCAGATGGATAGAGGACTGAGTCTATTCCCTGTCGGTCTGATCCTGCACTGAATACAACGTCCATTTTATAATACAGTGCCCCATACAACTTCCAGTCCCCTCCCCTCTGAACGCCATCAAATCATCAAGCTCATAGTATTATTATGCAATTTTTAAGAAATATGACATTTTTCAGGTCGTGCAGAGAGATGAATGAAATAGGTTTTTGCATACCTATAGTATACAGGTACATCATTAAGTAAATGAAATAGGTGAGGTGAATGCAACCAGCTGTAGTCCAGTTTGAGCACTTGGGCTGATGATATATGCATAATGCCCAATATCCAATTTACAGAAAAGGCCATTGTACTTGTATTTAAAATTTATTGGTTTGCATTAAAGGTTTTACCTGGTGCTCACCTCATTTGATTGGGAACTGAGTTTAAATTGTGAAATTGATTTGCCTTATATTTCCTAGAACGTACTGTGTGGAAAGCACTCTAATCTGATCTGTATGTATGTGATTCACAGTTAAATATTTGCATTTTTAATTGGGTTCTGTAATTTCCATGTTTGTCAAACCTACAACCGGAACTCTATATTTGCCAGAAATGTAAGTCAGCAGCCTAATTTGTGACCTTCTGATCTTTCTCTTTGATGCGAGGGGGCTTGAAAACTGCCGCCTGACATCTTTGAACAATGCCTTGTTAATAATGGCTTCTGTTCCGCAGTCAGTGTTTACCTGTTCATCAATTGACGTAGCGAATCATACCTGTCCTTACAGGACAGGAGGACAGCCCAATGTAGACCTCATACATAAGGTAAAAAAACGACATAGAAACAAACCAAGTGGATTGCTATATGGCTCGTTCATTCATCTGAACTTGAAGCCCTATGTCTTGAGAAAGCAGTGTGCACCATGGGATACTATCCTAAGTGATCGGGTTGGATACCGCTCTGTGACATTGCCTCATGTTGGCCAAAGTGTGTTCAGCTGAGCTGAACCGAGCACCAGAGAATCTGACACTCATATGGGTTCTACACTTCAATAATAAGCCACATTTTAGTGACCTGCTTCAGGATTTTCTTGAGAGATATGGCTATAGCGAGCAGATGGTTTTTCCTAACAGCGCTGAGGGTAGTGTGATGCCCAGCTGAGAGCGATGCTCTCGAACCACAATGTCATGTTGTGCTGTAACAGCTGAAATGTTTTCTTATATATTAATTTTTATATGGGGAACTAATATATGACTAATAATTGTTTTAAAAAAAGCCATCCATTTATTTCTAGAGGATAATTACAGTGTAACGAAGCCTTTTATATGATATTTGGTTGCTTAGTCCATAGACATGAATTACTGCTTAGTCATTCAAATGCTTGCGGTTTTACTTCAATTAAATGACCTTTTCATTATTAGCAATACATTTTTTCCAGCATAATCTGGCCACAAAAAGGAGGAGCAATTACTTGTCAATCGGGTGTTCTAAGGACATCCTCTTGAAATGTGGGCAACACACATCAAATGCTTTGAACTCTGCACAGGTGCTCCACTAAGCAAGGAAAACATAGGGCAATTTGAGCTGAAAGGCAATTACACCAGAACAACCCTCGTGTCATGTGCCCACAGACACGACGGCTAACGCTGAGTGGCAAATCAAAAGGAATCGGAGGTCCTTCATTTGCATGTGAAATGGCTTCCTACAATGTGGTCCTATAATGACTATGCCATTATATTTCCATGTTACACAGAGTGAACCAGTGGCAGTCGAACAACCCCAGCCTTCCACTGGGGATTGATTTGGACTTGACATGGATCACTGCATCACTTCTATCCATGCTTTTTAAAGTAATTGTATCATTACAATTTCTGAAACTCAATGAAATGTCAACATGGTAATTCACCCATTTGCTGCGTTGTCTCAGTATGTCATTTGAATGTCATCTCATCGAACAGTAAGGGTGACATTTTCCGTCAGGTGCACCGCTGCAGTACTCTATGAACATGGCCACGGTACGCTACTTCAAAGTCCAATCATGGCCCTACAATAACCATGTTCAAAATGTCCTGGGTACAGTACTATCCAGCAGAAATTCAATGGGAGGCTGCCATCCTCACTATATTCATAGCTGCCAAACTTCTCAATGAAAAGGGAGGGATCGCAGGGCTATTGAGGATTGCTCCATCGAGAAATTATCTAATTTCAAGTATAATGTATTTCCTTGGAATCCCTTGAACCCAGTTACCTAGCTGCAAAAAATGTACTTTTGCCTCGAAATACTTTCTTGGTGGTCTAAGACTCACCCAATACTAGAAATATTCTGAAATCTTTATACGCCTGGAATATGGGAGAATTCTTCAGTACCTGCTTTGATATGAAGTATATCTGCACTGACAAGTACAGTAGGAACAGTCTGTGCTCTCATGGAATTGGTTCTCTTTCAAATAAGATTTTTGTGTACTTGATTGTTTGCATCCTTCACCATGTACATTGACTAAGAAATGGGACATGTCAAATTGATTTGTACCTGGTAATGGCCTCCAGAGTCCTCTGGAGACAGGCTATTATCACATTTTAGCCCTCTTTGCAATAATGTGACTTGTGCGTTCCTGACTTCAATTTAACTTATTGCGTTCTTTTAATGATGTGGGGGTTGTACACTCAATGATTACTTTGAGAATTGAATTTTAACCAACCATTGGAATAGTCCCAGAAGGGCAAACTCTGCTCACCCTGCATGCTGGTCAACCCATATGGGTAGACCAAGGTGTCATATACTAAACATGTACTTATGTCACAGGTGTGACTCATTTGCAACGTTTAATCTAACAAGCATTTCTACTGGTTAATTGCCTGGTCATGTGACTTGCGCTGCACGTATTTAAACCCACCTGTTTTGTGCTTCTTGGCGGCTGCCAACAGGAAGTGATGCAGGCTGGAGGCATGGTGGAATCTTTGAGAAGAGCATGTAATGCGGAGGACACATTTCAGTTGAATGCATTCAGTTGTACAACTGACTAGGTATCCACTTTTCCCTTTCCTAATGGCTTTGTTTGGTGAGAGACCATGGCTAAAATGGAGTATGATAAAATAGAACGTATGAAGAAATGATTGCCTGCCTGCTGGACTGTGTTGCTTTCTCTACCTCTTTTTGTTCGTTTTTATTTTAAATAGCATGATTTGTAAAGCTAAAAGTATAAGAAAATGATACGAAGTGTGGATATGATTTACGGAACTGGAATGTGAACTGAGAACGTGCTTGAACTTTGATTTCAACTTGTGGAGAAAACCATGCCTTAAGGAAATAAATGTTAACTCTCCTTTTTGTTGTCTGCCTCTGCTTCACTCTGCCTGCTCAACCCAGACCTAGAACCTGTCACTTTCAACCCCGTGACACTTGCATCTAGAAGGCGCTATACAGTGAGGGGGAAAAAGTATTTGATCCCCTGCTGATTTTGTACGTTTGCCCACTGACAAAGAAATGATCAGTCTATAATTTTAATGGTAGGTTTATTTGAACAGTGAGACAGAATAACAACAAAAAAATCCAGAAAAACGCATGTCAAAAATGTTATAAAGATTCGCATTTTAATGAGGGAAATAAGTATTTGACCCCCTCTCAATCCGAAAGATTTCTGGCTCCCAGGTGTCTTTTATACATGTAACGAGCTGAGATTAGGAGCACACTCTTAAAGGGAGTGCTCCTAATCTCAGCTTGTTACCTGTATAAAAGACACCTGTCCACAGAAGCAATCAATCAATCAGATTCCAAACTCTCCACCATGGCCAAGACCAAAGAGCTCTCCAAGGATGTCAGGGACAAGATTGTAGACCTACACAAGGCTGGAATGGGCTACAAGACCATCGCCAAGCAGCTTGGTGAGAAGGTGACAACAGTTGGTGCGATTATTCGCAAATGGAAGAAACACAAAATAACTGTCAATCTCCCTCGGCCTAGGGCTCCATGCAAGATCTCACCTTGTGGAGTTGCAATGATCATGAGAACGGTGAGGAATCAGCCCAGAACTACACGGGAGGATCTTGTCAATGATCTCAAGGCAGCTGGGACCATAGTCACCAAGAAAACAATTGGTAACACACTACGCCGTGAAGGACTGAAATCCTGCAGCTCCCGCAAGGTCCCCCTGCTCAAGAAAGCACATATACAGGGCTGTCTGAAGTTTGCCAATGAACATCTGAATGATTCAGAGGAGAACTGGGGGAAAGTGTTGTGGTCAAAATCGAGCTCTTTGGCATCAACTCAACTCGCCGTGTTTGGAGGAGGAGGAATGCTGCCTATGACCCCAAGAACACCATCCCCACCGTCAAACTTGGAGGTGGAAACATTATGCTTTGGGGGTGTTTTTCTGCTAAGGGGACAGGACAACTTCACCGCATCAAAGGGACGATGGACGGGGCCATGTACCGTCAAATCTTGGGTGAGAACCTCCTTCCCTCAGCCAGGGCATTGAAAATGGGTCGTGGATGGGTATTCCAGCATGACAATGACCCAAAACAAACGGCCAAGGCAACAAAGGAGTGGCTCAAGAAGAAGCACATTAAGGTCCTGGAGTGGCCTAGCCAGTCTCCAGACCTTAATCCCATAGAAAATCTGTGGAGGGAGCTGAAGGTTCGAGTTGCAAAACGTCAGCCTCAAAACCTTAATGACTTGGAGAAGATCTGCAAAGAGGAGTGGGACAATATCCCTCCTGAGATGTGTGCAAACCTGGTGGCCAACTACAAGAAACGTCTGATCTCTGTGATTGCCAACAAGGGTTTTGCCCCCAAGTACTAAGTCATGTTTTGCAGAGGGGTCAAATACTTATTTCCCTCACATGTGTTTTTCTGGATTGTTGTTGTTGTTATTCTGTCTCTCACTGTTCAAATAAACCTACCATTAAAATTATAGACTGATCATGTCTTTGTCAGTGGGCAAACGTACAAAATCAGCAGGGGATCAAATACTTTTTTCCCTCACTGTACATTCACCAAAACAGAGGCCTCAACCAACCAACCTGTGATATACGACATCTAATGGCTGAGCTGTGGCCTGTAATCTGGCGTTGACAGATGCTGTGTGTTATCAGATGGGCATGCTGCCACAGAAAATGTGAGTTTAGTCAGGATGCCGCCTATCCTCACCTTCCATTGGTTTGATAGAGCTGCTTTAATGGCCCCTAAGGTTCATTGCCTTTATTCCTCATTGATTATCTAAACACAATCTGGGATTCATCTTAACAAATTAGTCCATTCATGGAACTAAGTAGGGATAGCTTAGTGGGCTACTGAGGTGTCCAGAGGGGATTTGATTGGTCTCTGAAAAATATTTATGAATGGATTTCAACTTGTGTTTGCTATATCACACTGTGTTCAAATATCATTCAATATAACACCTGACAGACTTTGTGTATTTCAAGACTAGGCAACTTTTTTTTGTTTAACGCTAGCTTGTTAACAGATCAAATCATGAAATGACGACACCCGCTTGCCATTTTACAAATTCCACGTGTGGAATGTAGCCTTCTGTTCAGTAGTCCTGACATTCAAGTGGTCTTAGATGAAGTTCCTGTTCTAGTAGGGGTAAATGATTAGATTTAGAGTTTAATAGTCACCTGTACAGGGTTGCAGATGTAATTGCATAGTACAGTGAAATTCTTAAGCTCCGAGTTCCAACAATGTAGGACAAAGTGAAATTATAAAAATAGAAATTATAATATATACATATTAACAACTGTATTGAGCTGTTGACAGAAGCTCTGAGGGAATTCCAGTCTGACTCAAAACTAAGAGGATTCTTAACCAATACCTACTGGTATGCCAGCCTGCATTGGGCCTGTAAACTAGGATCAATTTATTCCCCCTAGATCCTAACCTTAACAGTTAGAGGTGAGAATGCCAAACTGACCTTGGATCAGCATAAAAAACATCTTCCATGCGCATTATAACCAAAAACATCACATGGGACTGTTTATTAAAAAAATTATATGTATAATCATTTTGGTCTGGCCTATATTCACTGATAGAAAATGTTTTAGATAACATTGTGTTGCAGAATTGTTGTAATTGATAGCTTGAACAATAACTTCAAATCAACAAACATACTCTATAGTTAGGCCTATATGATGGTTCAATCCCGTTAACAGACATCATGCATTTTCAAATCGATCTGGATTCATGAACTATCGGAGCGCACCATGACACGAATGTACAGTACCACTGTGATTCCCTATCATAGGCTCAATGAAAAATCAATGTGAGAGTTGTGGAAGAAAAAAGAGGCCGGAAAGTTGAGTTGCTCTGTATTTGATCTGAAGGCTCAGAAAGAAAGTAGAGAAAGGGAACGGCATAGCTAACTTGGTAAGAGATTCGCAAGGTTTAGCTACAGTATAAATTAAGTGGAGATGTACAGTTAGTGAGCTCTTTTGTCTTACATAGCCTGAAGCTCATTTTAGATGTTCTCGTTGTACTTTTATGTCAACATGTTCCCCTCACTGCCATGGACACCAAAGGCACTTCCTGTTTCCTGTGACAGACCTTGGAGGTGAAAGCTTAACTCAGAATGAGGGACATTGAACATCAGGCTTCCAGCGAGTTGGCCAGCAACCTTAGTCAACCCCCAACCTTAGTCAACTTGACTCTACTATTGATATCTCCTACCTGTAAGTCACATACACTCTACTCTCAATGTTACAGCTCCTTGCTCTATACACTGATGCTACAGTATGTGAAATGACTAGTTCAGGGACCTCTTCCTTCTCTCTGGCTCGTATCTTTTAGCAACCCTGAGGTCTGCGATGAGGTCGTAAGAACTCTGAGGAGCATTTCCCGGAGCATGACCTTCCAACCTTACTCCAAGCTGTGCTGTTCCTCTAATGTGGTGGTGGACATCGTGCCCAGGCTCCTCCAGGCCCTGTGGCCCCGGCAGATGAAAGGCCCCTGTGACTGGCCCTCCATGGCCCTGAGTGACCTGGCTGTCACCATGATGATGGCAGTGGTGGAGAACCTCTAACACTCTGAAGGCCCCTCCTGCCCCTCAGGTCTACTACTCCCGTTCCACTGGTGTCAGGATGGTCCACACACTCAACCGTAAGATCCAGCGCCTAAGCAGCCCTGAGGACCTTAGGAGGACTCTTTTCATCCAAAGTCCCACTCTGGTCAGCACTGACATTGGAGCTGTGATCACTAAAGTCCAGAGGTTGTTTGAAGCTCCCACTGATTATATTACATTCAGCTCTATCCATGGTTGGTTATCAGAGGCCAAAGCAGTGGCCAATAGGAACGAGGTTCCTCCAAAGTGCCCTGACCAGTTGGTGATATCCTCAGAGCTCCTGAGGACCATCATTGGTCTGACAACCATCCTAATCTATTGTGGGACACTGGAGAAAGGCATCGCCGGCCCCTCACAGATGACATCATCAACCAACTGTGTGGGGTAATAGTTACGAAGAAGAAGAAGAAGAAGAAGAGGAGGAGGAGGAGGAGGAGGAGGAGGAGGAGAAGAAGAAGAAAAAAGCCAACTGACATCTGGGGTGGGACCAAATCCTTGAGATGACAAACATCCATACCAACCTTCACCACTACGGTGGCACAGACAAGATCTTGAAGGTTGCCACAACTTACAGAGCCACCATGCTAACTAGCCACATGGTTCACCTTGTGGTCGAAAAAATTTCAACAACAAAGAAGTTGGTAATAATGCCAGGTCGCAGTTGTAAATGAGAACTTGTTCTCAACTGGCTTACCTGGTTAAATAAAGGTGGCACAGTCCATTCCACCAGGCTTTGCCCCGGCACAGTCCATTCCACCGCCAGGCTTTGGTGCTAATGCCATGCCATGCTTTGGCCAACAAGTCATCCTGAAACAAATTGTCGTCCGATTCCTGGAGAAGCTCTCTCCTCCTGCATCAAACGGCAACATCCTTCCCTTTGGCCAAGCAGCTCTGCACGCTGGTTCAGACAATCGTTGACAGATCCCACAGCATGTTCAGTGAGGATCTGGAGAAGTGTACCGACTCTGCCAGTAAGAGCTACTGGACTGACATGTTCTACTGGGAATACCTGAAGTGTTAACTATCATCCCAGTGTCTGGGGATTGAAGCCTTCTCAGGGGATGAGGAGAGATGTTTAGTGGTGGCCAACATGATGGTCAAGAAACTTCTGGCTGACGTCGAGCCCCAGCTGTCCTGCTCTGTGACACACTTCGATCTGAATCCATCCAGTAAGGGACAGAAGGAGAGCAAAGTGATTACTCCAATTGAATCGACACCAGCTCCAAAGACCATTGAGGTAAGCAACACAACTTTTTTGAGTTCTCAAACTTTTATAGAAATGATCACTATTAGTAAATTGGATGTAAAAATGGTATTGTGTCTTTTCTGCTTTCAGTCTGTTGTGGGCGTGATAACTCCTTGGTCAACTACCCTGCTGTTAACACCTGGGACTCCTGGGTCAACTACCCTGCTGACAACACCTGGGACTCCTGGGTCAACTCCACTGAGCACTACCTCTATACACTGAGAAATTAATGAGGAAACAGCTGACCTCCAGTCAGGTAAGTTTACACAGAGTCCCTTGTCATTACATATTTTCACACTGTGATATACCTCATCTACTTGCCTGTGTTTGATACTTTCCATAAGGTTAGTGTGTATGAGACATTGATCCTCTGTGTAATTTCCAGGAGATGTGGTCAAGCTAAAGAAGAGCACAGTCAATCGTTTCCTCCGTAGACTTCTGTGCTGCTGCTACTACATCTAGTAAAAGATGTAGTGAACCTGACCTTCTCTTCACCTGCTTTTCACATGCCCTGCTCACCCTGCTCATCTCAGTTTAGATTTTAGAATATGACTGTTTACTGTAGCACCACCTAGGGGCCAATCAATGCCACTTTTGGCATGCCAGTTACTCTTTCCGGGTTCCATCATCATGCCAAGTTTTACAACCTTTTACTAATCGGTTGTTGAGTTATTGTCTGAAAATAAATAACTGTATAATCGGAACACTAACAAAAAATATGACTTCTTGCACTTTTGATGCTAGGAGCCCTAATAGAAAATATATGTTTAGATAAGATTGATTACATGAAGTATATATTTTTATGAACTTAAAGATATCTTGCAGTGTTTTATATGTTTATTTTTAAATACAGTATTGATAAATGGAATAATTAATAATTGTAAATGTAAGTGACAGACAACTCATGGACCAACAGCACTGTTTAATTGAGCTTGGCCAGCCTTTCCATGAATTTGATCTCGCACTGTATTTCTTCAGTTCTCCAGGAGAGGGCAGTATTGTCTAACATTTAAAGCTATAAAATACTATGACCTGTCATTTGAATTCACACTTCTAAAACAAGCCTGTTTGTATTGACAATAGTAGTTTAAATAGGTCTTAGTGTGTGTGGCTTTCTTTCATTCATTGTCATGTATTGTTAAGAATTGAACACAACATTATTCCCAAGCAGGCTACAAAACAATCTGCAACTTTCTTCTGTATGTGGCTCAACTTAGAACAGGACTGAGAGTAAGAATGAGGCATGTATTTAAATATTACTTTAGTTTGTTTGTGGTTGTGACCCTTTTTGGTGATCTCTGAGACATCATACTGTCAGCATATTTCCAGCTCCTCTTATATCAGCCTCTTATTTCAGAGCTTTATAAAACAGACATTGCACACTGTCTGAAACAGCCATGTCTCAATTTCAAACACTGTGGATACTATAATGGTTGAAGTTTATGGAGACAATGAAACTGTTATCTTGCTTTTCCAATCACTTAATGACTGTTGCATTATCATAACACAAACCACATATATCTTTTTTTTATATTTACTGTGCCATAAATTAAAGGTGTGCATTACCTCTGATGCTACCACTACACATTCAGCACTTTCTTGTTGTATGACAATCCGACACAGATTGACATTTTCAAGAAAAAGTCCCATCCTTCACAATGGTAGGCGTTGGAATGAATCTGCTTTCTGACTATAAATTATCATCTTAGTTTTCACTGTTGGAGTTGGCCTAAATGCCTCACTTGGCTCTCTTGTTCCTCAAGTTGTTTTTCTCGTTTGGTGCCCTGTGGCACTTTTGTGTGGTTCCTCCAGAGAGCCATAAATTTGGCCTTTGAGGCTCTCTGTGTCAGGGTAAAGCCCAACTGTCTGACACTGCAGGCTGGGCCAATCTGGTTCTTTGTGAGGGCTCCCGCTCCCATGTTGGATAGGGGACGTGAACTGCTCTTGGAAGCTGTTGTTCTAGGTACAGAATTAGGATCAGTTTACCCATCCCAAAGCCATTAGGAGAGAAAGTGCCAAACTGGCCTGATGTCAGTGTCTATTGTGGACAACTTCATCCTACCCTGAACTAGTAGACACTTGACCGCTGCAGAAAGGTTAGTGCAATCCGGGATCCTTGGTACATCCATACAGTAAACCCTAAGCCTAACCTTAACCCTTACCCTAACCTTAACATGAACCATAACCCTTACCTAACCCTAACCTTTATCTTAACCCTTACCTTTACCATTTTAAATGTCAACTTCAATGGGGTAGGGAAGCCCCAAGGATTCCAGATAGCAAGGACCCTTACAGAAAGGGCTACAGAACCGTTGGTAACTCATTTTGGAATGGCTGTGTTGGTGTATTCTAGAGAGTTTTATTCCATAAGCTTATCTTACTACAACATGTTACAGATGTAGTATCTTAATTTGATCACTGTGTTGCAGGAGAAATGTAAAACGTGTAGTGTATTTGAGGTTTAAAAAGGCTTCTGAAGATTAGATTTTCCCTTCCAAAAAATGTATCAACCCCTACAAAAAAATGGATTAATTATAATCCACATGCAACTGGATCCTGGACTTCCTGATGGGCCGCCCACGGGTGGTAAGGGTAGGCAACAACACATCCACCACGCTGACCCTCAACACGGGTGCCCCTCAGGGGTGCGTGCTTAGTCCCCTCCTGTGCTCCCTGTTCACCCACGACTGCGTGGCCGCGCACGACTCCAACACCATCATTAACTTTGCTGATGACAGAACGGTGGTATGCCTAATCACCGACGACGATTAGAGAGCCTATAGGGAGGAGGTCAGAGACCTGGAAGTATGGTGCCAGGACAACAACCTCTCCCTCAACTTCAGCAAGACAAAGGAGCTGATTGTGAACTACAGGAAACGGAGGGCCGAACATGCCCCCATTCACATCGACGGGGCTGTAGTGGAGCGGGTCGAGAGTTTCAAGTTCCTCTGTGTCCACATCACTAAGGAATTAACATGGTCCACACAAACCAACACAATCGTGAAGAGGGCATGACAATGGCTTCTCCCCCTCAGGAGGCTGAACAGTTTTGGCATGGTCCCTCAGATCCTCAACTAGTTCTACAGCTGCACCATTGAGAGCATCTTGACTGGCTGCATCACGCTTGGTATGGCAACTGCTTGGCATTCGATCGCAAGGCACTACAAAGGGTGGTGTGTATGGTCCTGTACATCACTGGGGCCGAGCTCCCAGCCATCCAGGACCTCTATACCAGGCAGTGTCAGAGGAAGGTCCTAAAAATTGCCAAAGACTCCAGCCACACAAGTCATAGAATGTTCTCTCTGCTACCGCATGGGAAATGGTACCGATGCACCAAGTCTGGAACCAACAGGACCCTGAACAGCTTCTATCCCCAAGCCATAACACTGCTAAATAGTTAGTTAAATAGTTAACCAAATAGCTACCCGGACTATCTGCATTGACCCTTTTTGCACTAACATTTCTGACTCATCACATAGGGAAACGGTACTGATGCACCAAGTCTGGAACCAACAGGACCCTGAACAGCTTCTATCCCCAAGCCATAAGACTGCTAAATAGTTAGTTAAAGAGTTAACCAAAACCCAGACTATCTGTATTGACCCTTTTTTCACTAACATTTCTGACTCATCACATATGCTGCTGCTACTGTTTATTATATATCTTGTTGCCTAGTCACTTTAATCCTAGTTATATGTACATATCTAACTCAATTACCTTGTACCCCTGCACATCAACTCGGTTCTGATACCCCGTGTACACTATATATACAAAAGTATGTGGACACCCCTTCAAATTAGTGTATTCGGCTATTTCAGCCACACCCGTTGCTGACAGGTGTATAAAATCAAGCACACAGCCATGCAATCTCCATAAACAAACATTGCCAGTAGAATGGCCTTACTGAAGAGCTAAGTTACTTTCAACGTGGCAATGTCATAGGATGCCACCTTTTCAACAAGTCAGTTCATCAAATATCTGTCCTGCTAGAGTTGCCCCGGTCAACTGTAAGTGCTGTTATTGTGAAGTGAAAACGTCTAGGAGCAGCAACGGCTCAGCTGCGAAGTTGTAGGCACACAAGCTCACAAAATTGTCTGTCCTCGGTTACAACACTCACTCCCGAGTTCCAAACTGCCTCTGGAAGCAACGTCAGCGCAAGAACTGCTTGTCGGGAGCTTCATAAAATGGGTTTCCATGGCCGAGCAGCTGCACACATGCGTAAAATCACCATGCGTAATGCCAAGCGTTGGCTGGAGTGGTGTAAAGCTTGCCGCCATTGGACTCTAGAGCAGTGGAAACGCGTTCTCTGGAGTGATGAATCACGCTTTACCATCTGGCAGTCTGACAGACGAATCTTGGTATAGCGGATGCCAGGAGAACACTACCTGCCCCAATGCATAGTGCCAACTGTAAACTTTGGTGGAGGAGTAATAATGGTCTGGGGCTGAGGTCCATACAGAAATGGTTTGTCGAGATTGGTGTGGAAGAACTTGACTGGCCTGCACACAGCCCTGACCTCAACCCCATTGAACACCTTTGGGATGAATTGGAACGCTGATTGCGAGCCAGGCCTAATCGCCCAACATCAGTGCCCAAACTCACTAATGCCCTTGTGGCTGAATGGAAGCAAGTCCCCGCAGCAATGTTCCAACATCTATAGGAGAGCCTTCCCAGAAGAGTGGAGGTTGTTATAGCAGCAAAGGTCGGACCAACTCCATATTAATGCCCATGATTTTGGAATGAGATGTTCGACGAGCAGGTGTCCACATACTTCTGGTAATGTAGTGTATATAGCCAAGGTATTGCTACTCATTGTGTATTTATTATTACTTTTATTATTACGTGTTATTACTTTTCTGTATTTCTCTATTTTCTCTCTCTCTGCATTGTAAGCATTTCACTGTTAGTCTACACATGTTGTTTAGAAAGCATGTGTAATAACATTTGGTTGATTTGATTTGATTCTCTTGAGGAGATACGGGTGTTTCGTTATGCTTTACGGTCCTATTTGACACAACTAAGATAATTAGCAGCTTCCAAACCAAACAAGACGTAAAAGAAGCCGTCATCACCATGCAGTAGACGGTGAAGGTGACCCCTGGCAACACTCTCAGGCAGGGGCTGGCCGTGTGGATGTCTTATCTCCTCAGTTACGCTGTATGATAGTGCATGCAGCCCCATTGGAGCGACACAAACACAACACACACTAACACAACAGTATCCTCAGTGA